AGACCTTCTATAAGGCTCCTGTAACCTTATCTACCCAACTGAAAGTGTCCTAGACCTAGACGGCATCAACGAAGTCGTGGAGCCTGTAAATAGGGGAATTTTGAAGTTGTTGGCAGATGCAACTTAGAGGCTGTGGTACCCAACAACCAAGGTTTTGAGGCAACGGGGCTTAGAGGCTTAGAGTTGAGGGTTTAAGAACTACAATAGGGTTTAGGAGCTTAGCGTTGTTTTGTCAACGCGTGCTCCTTGCTCTGTGCATGTGGTTGTCTCCGTCTGTCTCTAGCTGGCTGCCTCCCTCTTCTTGTCTCTGCGTCTGTCTCGGCGCGCTAGTGCCTGAACGTAAACCTTTAACCCGAAACCCAATCTCTCTCAACATAGGCCTGTTTCTACATCCTGCAGCGGCAAGACTTCCAAACCCAACCGTGAAACTGTCACTGTTAGTCCCAGGACCCTGAGACCAAAACCAATAAACCCCAAAATCCTAATCTGGGGGCCTGAATCATTACCTACACTACTTTGGGGAATTCCTTACTGTAATTATAGCATAGTGGGCCCCAAAACCCTATTCTAACTATTGAGGCCCCCTACATTAGCCCAAACTGTCCATGATTGAACCCCTAAACCCTAAACCCTAAATCCTAAACCCTAAACCCTAAACCCTAAACCCTAAACCCTAAACCTTAAACCCTAAACCCTAATGAACCCTGGCCAGAAATTCTGGAGCCCTCATAACAAAGGACTACATCCCAACAGCTGCATCAAAACTATATACAGGCCTGTTCATCCCCACCACCCTTGTGAATATTCACTTATGACTAAAAGTTGGAAACAAAGTCCTATGAATACCAAATCGTATCTAAACTTTAGAAACGCAGCCCCAAACCCTGCAAGCCCTATACCCTAAAGCCTAAACTCAAACGAAGACAAGGCCCCCCACCTCCGCTTCGCAGGGATGTGCCGCCAATTTGAACAGGAGGTCGGCCCACCTTAGAGCAGTAGGATCTCGGAGGATTTTTCGGGTTCTGAAAGGGGTGTTTCTTGTAAGGCTCTGCAAGGGTTGTCTTTGGGTCTTTATGTTTTCTGAGGTTCTAAGAGGGGCTGTCTGTTGGGGGGAGTGCCCGTTTTCTCAACCTTCTGAGCCCAGCTGCACCGGGTCCACAGAGCTTGCGGCCTCTGGCTCGCCAGGAGCCTCGCCGTCGCCTGCACTTTAGTTCACCGGGGGGGTAGGGTTTCGGGTTTGGGAGTAGGGCTTAGGGTTTAGGGTTTAGAGTTTAGGGTTTCGGGTTTTGGGCGTAGGGCTTGGGGTTTAGGGTTTCGGGTTTCGGGTTTTGGGGGTTAAGCTTTAGGGTTTAGAGATTTATAAGGCATAGGGCTTAGGGTTTGGGACTTAGGCATGGTCCGGAGCAAGAGCGTGGCTGAAGCCCAAAGAGCCGCAAAAAGCCCCGAAAAGCCAGAAACGCCGAAACAGGTTAGGGTTCTGGGTTTAGGGTTTAGGGTTTAGGGTTTAGGGTTTAGGGTTTAGGGTTTAGGGTTTAGGGTTTGGGGCAGACTCTGGGCCACCAGGGGTGCCTGAAGTTTTGGCCCCTGGATCCTGAACCCGAAAGAACCTAGCTCTTCAAGAACATATGTACAAGGAAATCCCGATAAAGAACCATAAGAAGGCTTGGTATGTGGGGTTCAGGTGACTTTATACCAAACCCTTATAGGAACCGCTTTTATAGAACCTAGTGAGGCCCTAGGCCTTAAGTAAGCCCTAAACCTAAAACCCCCAATCCCTACTGAAATAGACCCTCTACACAAACCCTAAGCACCCCTAAACCCTAAAACCTAAA